GTTTTTCCTTAAGTTCTTCCTGAAGTGTAACCAGAACTGCCTGAAGAACGCAGGGAACCCTCGAGACATGAGGCGCTTCCAGGTGACATCACGCTCAGAGTTTACAGCCACGGCAATAACATGATGCTCAGTGTTTTATGGGAGAACTACATCCACACGACGTCTCCTCGCACCAACAGAGAAGCCAAGACAGGGAGGTGGTGTGGGGGTGTCAGGGGCGCAAAGGGTCACTAATCTCATTCATGAGCACTGGCCTGGCTCTAGAAGACAACGCTGGTGTCAGCGAGGTGTTTTGGGGATGTTTTTGGACATTTTTATCTAAATCACCTGACTTACTGTAGACTCATGTCAGGTAAAGTAAAAAGGAAATGACAGACTTTTATGTTCTTGCAAATTAGCCTTTAAAGTGTGTTCATGTGTTTAGGGTGTGCATAACTAAGGTCTGGCCTGTGTAACAGAAAGCTTCCTGAATGTAGAAATGGTTTCATCCCAACCGGACTGATAAGCTAATGGCTAGGCCTGGTGCAGATTTCTGCTCCTTAAAAAGCTGAAGTGTTTCTAGCAGGTCTATTTCCAGCAGTTTTACAGGACTTCCTGCCCGTTCCCTCATCTTCATTGCCCCCTTGTTTCTTAGGTGGTCGTGTCGACTACTGTGAGCGTTGAGGGTCACGTCCTGGCTGTGTCAGACAACATGTTTGTGCACAACAACTCCAAACACGGGCGCCGGGCTCGAAGGCTGGACCCGTCAGAAGGGACGCCGTCCTACCTGGAGCATGGTACAAAAAAACAAAAACAGCTGGTCTCTGTGTTGTGTTCTGGCTTTCTCTGTCTTTGTTTTCACTCACCCCCCCCCCCCCCCCCCCACCCGCACCCCCCCCCCTTGTGTCTGGCTCTGCACTTTCTGTCTCCCCTCTGTTCTCCTGAAACACACTTTCTTTCTTATCTCTCCCCTCTTTCCTCCTGGATTTCACTCCCCTCTGGAGCTAAGGAGTGAGTGCTAGCTCCCCGGTCTCTCAGCTCTCCCTCGTGGCTTGCTCCCCTCGGGTCTGCGCCTCTGGGCCTTCTGCTCCGCCTCGCATAAGCACTATGTGTCTTATGAGGTCTGTTCTGCTGAAAGCCAACACTGGCTTTATTTCCTCAGAGACCTGCTTTTATCCTCTAGCCCTCCATCAGTTTCCCATCCCTCAGGTTCCCAAGCACATACATGCACCAGAAATCACACACACACACACACACACACACGCACACACACACACACACACACACACACACACACACACACACACACACACACACACACACACACACACACACACACGCACGCACGCACACACACACACACACACACACACACACACACACACACGGTCTAAGACAACCCTTTAATACTTCATAATGACATGTGCACATGATTTAGGAGGCTGCACTGATTCCCAACTCCCTAATCCAGTTATTTTCTCATTTCGGTTTCCCAGACGTTGAATAAGAGAAACATATTTTTTTCTTTGAGGAAAGTCAACCTCAGGGATGATAATGACAAAAAAACTAAGCAGGGATTTACATGATGGCCTATAGTAGATTGCATTAAGATTGAACGTTACGGTTAAGTCTCTGTGATGACTATCCTCTGGAGACAAAGTGGACCGATTGTCCCCGGCGACTGGTCTCATCAACGATTAGAAAAGTTCACAAAGACGAGACATATGGAGACATCACACACCATCCGCTGACAGATGTTCTCATGTCAGAGGGAATTTCCTTTTCTCTGATTCTGCAGTTTTTTCCATGTTGGAGGGTAGGAAGGAGTGGAGTGAGACAACAAAAAGGAGAGGACAGGACGAGCTGAAAGTGTATCATGAAGAAAAGATCAAATGAAACCAGAAAGAGGAGTTTCTGTGTTGCCTTCTCCTCCTTTGTTGCATTAGCGTTACACAACTTTGGGGCCTGTTTTAAGCGGTAATAGATGAGCAGCGAATGGAGATGAACAGATGGTGCAGAGGAACACCCCAAAGTATAATCCTATCACATGGATTCACGTTCCACCATCTGGTTAATCCACGCGCACACACACACACACACACACACACACACACACACACACACATAAAACACAATATCAGCGGCAGAGAAAGGGAGGCATCTCAGGGCTGATTACGGCCACAGATTGCTGCTCGGTGAGCGCTGATCTCTGCAGGCGTGTCGGGGGGCTAAATATCATTCCAGCTTGTTGGGGGGGATCAACAGAACACGGAGTCAGGCAGAGAGCAAAGGCAAGGCTGCAGGGGAACGTCAGCCTAGTCTAAAGTGGATTAGGCCGCTTTACAGAATTACAACATGTCTGACAAGCTGCGTATCTGTAAGGAGAGGAGATTTAGCTTGTATAAACATGTATTTTCCCAACGTTGTTCTTTTGCTCAAACGATAATCTCCAACTCTACAACATCAACATATAAAATCACGTGGAAACAGCTCCCCAAAGCGTTTCTCCTTCCTTTATTCAAAAAGGATGCAAAGAAAAAAGGGCAGCGTTTAGAGGAGGAGCCAGGACGAGCTGCCTCACAGGTATGTGGAGCAGACGGCTGGTCGGGGCTAAGTGTTGGGCTAATGAAGGCGGTGTATTCAGGGGGCAGAGCTGCTGTTGGCTTGGCTCTGCTCCCCGGCCGTGTGCCCTTTGATCAGACACTGAGCACACCTGACATTTACACGCCCGCATGCTTTGCCACGTGTCATAAAACAAGTGCACCGCTGCTGCCCTCACACACAGGGGCAGGGGTGATGTTTAATAACAGGGCGCGTATAATCGCTCTGATTAGAATTCCACATCCGCCGTCAACCCCTGGGAGAGGGCCAAGGGGTGAGCCGTGTGTGTGTGCATGTGTGTGAGAGAGAGGGACAGTATAATGTCATCGGCGAAGACCTTTCAGCTCTGTCATGAAGGTAGTTAACGTCTGATTTTATTATTTTTTTCCAGCAACTCCCAGCATCAAAGCCATCAGTCCCAGTGAAGGCTGGACCACAGGGGGCGCAACGGTCATCATCATAGGAGACAACTTCTTTGACGGCCTCCAAGTCATTTTTGGAACCATGCTAGTCTGGAGTGAGGTTAGTCGCCCTCTAGTCTTATTTGTGTGATCATGACCTTTATGTCTGGGTCAAAGCAGAAATTTACATTCACTCACTTTTAGCTTTGCTGTACAACACTCACATGAAAGGACTTCCACTGTGGTCAGATGTCTAGTTCAGCTCTACAGCCCTTAGTTCCTCACACAAGTTAGAGTTGGTCAGTCAGTCATCAGTTTTTACCTTTTTCATTCCTAATACCTGACTAAATAGACAATAAAACCTCCCATCATTTCAACCATCTGCCCTCAGCACACACACATACACACACACACACACACACACACATATGCAGACACACACACACACACACACACACACACATACACACACACACACATTCACACACACATATGCATGCATGCTTACACACATACACGCAGGCAGACACACACTCACACACACACACACACATATACACACATGCATGCACGAACGCATGCACTCACACACTAACACACACACAAACATGCACGCACGCATGCACACACACAAACACACATACGCATTCACACACACATATGCATGCATGCTTACACACATACACGCAGGCAGACACACACTCACACACACACACACACATATACACACATGCATGCACGAACGCATGCACTCACACACTAACACACACACAAACATGCACGCACGCATGCACACACACAAACACACATACGCATTCACACACACATATGCATGCATGCTTACACACATACACGCAGGCAGACACACACACACACACACACACATATACACACATGCATGCACGAACGCAGACATACACACACACAGATACACACCTGCATCCACACACACATGCACGAACGCATACACTCACACACTATATAACACACACACACACACAAACATGCACACGCATTCACACACATATGCATGCATGCTTACACACACACACACACACACACACACACATAGAAGTGGGCTAAGTGAGCCTCTTTAAGACACAGGCGTGCTTTCATGTAGCTAACGGCAGCGAGACCGCTTCAGCTGACAGACACAGAGACGGGGCCAGACAGGCATATCACACACTTACTGGTTCTGCTCAATAGCTGCACGCACAGGAAAGTGTGTTTTATTCATAAACAGATTACTGCTTTTGAATCCTTATTACACAGTCCACGTCTGCACCGATAAGCCTCGTGAGCCTCACAGTGACATTGCCTTGGGCTACGGGGCTACCTGAGGGCTTTAGCGCTAGCACGTCATTTTCAGGCTTATTACACACAGAAAGAGACTCAAAAGCTGCGAGGAAGAGACGAGCCAAGAATAGTCCCGTGAGCACGTGGTGAGGAATGAAGTTTTGTTGCACTAAGCTGCCTCTGATTCTCCGTAGCTGATCACTCCCCACGCCATCCGCGTGCAGACTCCGCCCAGGCACATCCCAGGGGTGGTGGAGGTCACGCTGTCCTACAAATCCAAACAGTTCTGCAAAGGCACACCTGGACGCTTCATCTACACAGGTACAGCTAACAAGATGTTTTCATGACCCCTCCTTCGCAAATGTAGTCATGAACAGATAAAGTGTTCAAACGTGGACTCGTTTAGTCACTTCTTTTTTTTTTGCTGCATCTGACAAAGTGTCGAGGCGTACATTTTATGTGCTTTCATCACTCTGCAACTGCTTCTGGAGAAAAGCGCGCATGCTAAACAATTTAAAGTTCAATAACACGACTCGTTCAGTAAAAAAAGCCTGCTGATCTGAGGAGAAGAGGAATTTGCCCTCTTTTATGAAGCAAGTGAAGGTCATGGGGAGGTTTAACCTTTTGATTAGTGGGATTATTGAGAATTAACCCTGTCGAAGGCGTGATTCGGGAGTTCCAGGAGGAGAGCGTGGCTCTGGATGGAATCGAGAATAGCTTGGT